GCATATTGTAAAAGTTAACTATAACTGAATAAAAGGAGCCGGCCAAGAGGCCACCTTAACACCAAAAAAAAAAAAAATAATATATCAGACATCATAAATAAAGATCTGTATGAAATTAAATTTGATAAACGTGCCTATCTGACTGGAACCTCAAAATATTTCCAATATTTAATCAAGTTATTTTCTTCTTGTGTTGTTAAGATAAAGCAAGTACAGTTGAGAAATCATGCTACTTTGCCTACAATAACATGGTATGCATCCTGCAGTACATATTGATGATAATCATGAAGAATGGTAGGGGCCTGGTGATGATTGCAATTCATATTGTGAACAGGTTTGTAATCATGCTGATTTTGTTTGTTGTGTATTTATAATTTCAAATTCTTGATTAGTTATTTGGTGATACTGGCTATTAGAATAAATATCAAATGAAATATTTGTTAATTCATTTTTAGAAGCTTTACAACTACAATATCCAAGATTAGCATTATGACATAATACACCCACAATATCATTCTCTGAAGCAAATCTGCTGTAACCATAGCTAATCCATCTGAAATCTAACAATCTATACTATTTATATTCATTACAAACCCTTGCTCAAGTTGATAAACCTCTTTAATAAAAATTTTTATAAAATCTTTAAAATTTTCACCAAATAGTACCAATCCAATTATAAAATGATTATGTAATTGTTTCCTTAATTGCCAGAGCATATTACCAATCTGCAAGTAAATGCTATCTAAAGAATGATAAGTATTGTGAAATATGTCAAAATCATTATAATATAAATCTAAATAAAACTTAAAAATTAGCATATTTAAATTTGCTGGTAGTTTGACAGATATATGCTCAGATGGATGTTGATGATGTAGCTTTATTGGTCGAAACTTCTACTGTCTATTATAATAATATAATATTTTAGTAACAAAAAAATTAACTATAGGTAGGGCAGGTTGGTTCTGGAGCCAAACATTAAAATAGCAAATCAATAATAACAGATCAATAATAAAAAGTTCTAATTCCTTAACTAAATATTGTTCTTTTGGTGAGAATGAAATATTTTTTTTGAATGTAGATATTGTGGAATTTAATCATATGAAAATAAACGCTAAATTCAGGTCATCACTTTTTTATCAACAATAACAAAAGATCTAATTTGGCTGACTTCAATAGTTTTAGTAATTGAATAGTATTTAACAAAATCTCCACAATTGAATAAGCCTAAATAAAAATTATTTTAAAAAAATTTGACTATTATAACATAAAATAATATATATATATATACCTTGCATCGTAATTAAATTAGATTGGCCAAGAAGAGGGATTCGGTCTAGAGATCTCCTTCTCATAATTCTTCACAAAATTTTGACAAAATGCCTGACCCAAAATATAAATGTGAACTAATAGACAGGTTTTTTAATATACATTGAATATGTTCAATTAGAGAAAAATAATAAACCCGATTAGAATCTTTAGATGTTGATGGTGTGTTTTTAGTATTTATTAGAATCATATGGCTATAAATTTTTATTAATGGTAGTTGCTCACATTGTTTCTTAAGATGCTGTAAATTAGTAATCAAAATTTTTTTTTCGAATTGCAGATAGAATAAAATCTATACTAAGTCATGATATGCTGCAATCGCTAAATATATATATATGTGTAGTTAGTTTTTATTTATATAAACAAGTACTAAATCAAATTACTTACAAATCATATACTTAGTAGCCCATATGAAAATAGCCATATTGGTGAAATTTTCAAAAGAGCCAAATGGGCAATCACGATGCCAATTTATGTCAGATTTCATTCTGTCAAATTTCTTTGAAGTGTTATCTATTGGTTTGTACTTATCATCAGAACTATAACAACTTATATTATTGTTAAGTTCACTTTCAATATCTATGCTATTTAATTCACTATAACTTAAGCTGTTTTTAACTTTCTAATCAAGTTCTATATTATCATTATTCTCTAAACTGTCTTTGGCTTCCTAATCAAGCTCTATATTATCATTATACTTCAAGCCACCTTCTAATTCCTGATCAAGCTCTATATTATCATACTCTTCAAGTTATCTTCAAATTCTCGATTAAGTTCTATATTATCATTACTCTCTAAGCCATCTTCGAATTCCCGATCAAGCTCTATATTATCATTCTCCAAGTCATTTTCAAATTTCTGATCAAGCTCATATTATCTAAGCTACCTTCAAACTCCTGATTTTTGATATTATCCAAACTGCTATTAATTGTGTGTTGATTTCTATAGTCTTGGTAATTATTATTTCTATAGTAAGAGCGTTGGTCATCATCAGACTGAGCACTATTAAGTTCGATTTGTTGACTATTATAGTTTAAGCTATTATTATTACTAAGCTCATATTCAGGTTGTTGATTGCTATAATTAAAGTTACTGGATGATGTATGGTTAAGATTATCCAAAAAAGTGTAATCACTCAAATAGGTCTTCTTGGAACATATATTTAAATTATAAGAATAATGTGAATTACTTGTTTTGAATCAATTTTGAGAAAACATGAGGCTATAAATAACTTAGCAAAATTTTAACTTTAGGACTATAGCAAAAAAGAGAAGTAATATTGAAACTATATATAATAAAAAAAAAAGCTTTAACTCAATAACACTTTGAAATAATAATATAAGTTGTTTGGGTATTAAGTTTTGCAAGTGAGAAATACTTTTTTTTTTTTTTGCACAAATTTTCTTTTATAGTAATTTAATCATACAATAATACAGAAATTTGATAGAAGTTTAAATAATAATATAAGTATATTTCATTAAATAATTTTACTAGTTAATTAAAACATGCTTTAGTGCGATTAAAAAAAAATCATTATACAAATGAAAAATAATTAAGTTATGTCTAATTGTAATATGTTATTTTTATTAACATATGTACTTATGTATGTATATTCATGATTAATAAAAAGTGTGACACCTCTGTTACAATTAGGTGTGATATAATTTTTTATCATTTTGTATAACAATTTTTGTGATCTTATTAATGTATATTTTAATTGATAACATTACAAATACTTAATAATCTCAAGTCACAAACTAAGAATAGTCATTTTTCTTACAATTTTTCATATTTTTTAAACATGTCAACAAACATTTTTTTCAATAATCACAAGTAAAGATGTGCTACGTATAGTACTATACATACTGTATATATTGTACGTAAAAAAAATTTGAGTATCATATAAATAGTATATTTCTAATTACAAGATTCAGTTATTTTTGTATTGTATCAATAAAATTAGTATAGTTCAGATAAGAATAATAGATAAATTTATATGTACGACTATTTAGAGATAATAATGAATATGCAACTATTTAAAAAAAAATAAATTTACATGTGTAACTATTTAAGGTTTAGACCAAATCGATATCGATATTTGGATAGTCACCAAAATAAATTCTAATTTAATAATATATATAGCAAACAATAATGTAAAGTTCTGTTTTTTTTGAGTATCTAATTCTGGTATACATATAATCTTATCAATGACCCATCAATAAAAAAGAAAGACTACCTAAAGTTGTTTAGAAGAATAATTTACAAAAGTTAATAACCCATTATTAATTAATATTTACTTAAAAACTTATAAATGATCAATATAAATATACACCAAACAAGAACAAGCTATTAGTATAAACATACCGTAAATTGTCATATAAATCATCCCTCCTTAATAATGGACCCACCTGTATTGTACCCAGTGTCTATAGTAGGGTTAAGATTAGTAAAATATAAAAAACTCTATGTCTATTAACTGAAATGTAACATACCCAGTAGTCTAAACTCCAGCCGCAGTAACAAAACAGGCAGTACTAAGTGTTAGATGAACTTTAAGCAAGCATTTCTGAATACTTACTTAGATCTTGCAAATCCTTAAATGTATTAAATGGCGAAAGTCTCTTAGACTAGGATATTGAGATCAAAAGTATGATATTTTTATTTGGCAAATTTCAAAATTATTTTAACAAACTCTAAATCAATTAAGCAACATTATTATTGTTATAATTAATGCAATAATAAATTATATGAAGACAATATCAGATTAATTAGCATAATAAATGTAATTCTATTTAAAAGAATATTATAATATAAACACAGAATAGATAAATATGTTAAATAAGATTCGATTGCATTTTTTATTCATCTAATTAATTACTAATTTTTTGAAAAATTTTCTTGCAAATCTTTATCTAATAAAATTTAATTCAATTAATTATTATTGTTACTATTACATTCTTTTAAAAAAAAAATCTTCATACTTTTCTCGTTCTTCTTTAAGTTCGAGTTAATTAGCATACTAAAAATGACTTGTAGCCAGAAATGCAATATCAATTGTAATATAATCTAATTATTTAATATGGTTTAAGACCATAGAAGTATAATCTGGATTTTTTCTTTTAGCTTCTGCTATCAAATACTCAATGTGTATCTTGAGGCTTCTAGCAACAAAGGTCATTAATGTTTTTACTTCTAAATACTAGGTTTTGAAAACATCGTAATCGAGAATATCAATATACTTCTTAAGTAGTTTTTCATACACTGTCCTGGCTATGAATCCTTCAATATCATGATTAGAAGAATTGCTAAGATTGAGTTTAATAATTTAGTAGTGTAAGCAAATTTATTATTGTTATAAAATATAAAATAATAACTTGCCATTTTTTTCTAATTAAATGATTTGCCAATTTGGCAACATTATCATTATAGGTGTTATAGAAGTTTTTAAATGCTTGTCATAATTTACTTAATATTCCATTTCAATCTGAATGTGTGCTAACCATATTAGGAACAATACTTTTAATCAATGATGATCGAGTTCTTTTTGTTGGTATTCTGGTTTGAAGAAATAGAATTCGCGATTGCTTAGAAAATATTTTTGCTAAATATGATGTGTTAGATAAAAACAACTATTATTTAAATTATATAGTTACTATGCGATATACTGTATAAAATTAAGGTGCACAATATGCTCAGTGCACATATTTTTTTTAAATTTATATATATAATTGTAACTTGTGCATATTGTGCACACTTTGCGCAAATATTTTAATTGCTACTAATCTGACTGGATGTAAAAGATCGGGATGGAAAACGAGAATCTAATGCCTGTAATACGATGTCTCT